GATTGCAGGAAAGTGCCTGAGAATTCACACATTAGCACTCCCAGGTGCTGTTAATACTATTTTACTGCCAATACACTGCGTCTGTCTCCTTCACGAGGGAGTTGGAAGGGCCAGAGGAAAGAGTCAAGCAGCAGGCAGGTCTAAGAGTGATAGGCTCATCTAGTTCAACTACATTTTCTAAATCTATTTCTCTTTATTATCTAGAGACCACCCTTCTCCTCCCTTCAACTGTCAGGTTTTTTTGGACTCTGAGGAAAACACTGCTTGGAGCAAGCAAGCTGAGAGCCCAGGTGGCACGGGCCTTCAGAATTTGTGACTCCACTCTTGCCTATGCTTACCCACAGTCTGTCATGGGGAAAGAAGAAGGGCAGAAAAACCTAGAGAAGCTGTAAATTTTTTAGACCTAGAGTTGGGATCACCTTTTGCATGAAATGTAATTCTTCTGGCTCTTTCGCTTGTTTTTTAACATAAATTTTTTTTTAATGATTTTTAAGTTTATTTATTTATTTTGAGAGAGAATCGAGAGTGCAGAGGAGGGACAGAGAGAGAGAGACAGAAGACAGAGAATCTCACAGGCTCCACGCTGTCACGCAGAACCCAACTTGGGCTCAAACTTACAAAACGGAGATCTGACCTGAGCTGGAAGTCAGATCGCTGAACTGACTGAGCCACCAAGGCACCCCAACATAACTTAAAAAAAACACATCCTGAGCATGTGGGTGGCCTAGTCAAGCTGTGTCTGACCCCTGACTTAGGCTCAGGTTCAGTCTGGTGGCTCAGGTCTGAGCCCCATGTCCTGACGAGCAGACAGTACAGAGCCTGCTTGGGATTTCTGTGTCTCCCCTTCTCTGCCAGTCTCCCTTCCCCTCTCATATTTTTTTTTTCTCTCCCAAACATAAAAACAAAAAACAACAACAAAAAATACATCCCAAGTTTATTGTGGAAAATCAGAATATCAGGAGGGGAGAAGGAGTGGGGAGGGAGGGAGGGAGGAGGGAGGGAAGGAAGGAAGGAAGGAAGGAAGGAAGCGAAGGAAGGAAGAAGGGAAGAAGGAAGGGAAAGGAAAATGAAATAAAAACACTACCCAGAGCTGTCTGACATAAGTTACTGCAACCCCTTCCAGTTCTAATTTCATTTTTTGTTGTTATTCCTTAAATATTATTTGTAACTAGCTCTTCTTTACTCAATATCATGAACATCTTTTTACGTCAATAAATTAATTTCTACAAATTTGTACATATGGCTCTAGCACAGTGTATTCAAAGAACATCCCATCGTTGAACGTTTAAAACTTTTTCTCTTCCTTCTTTTGTTATATTAAAAGTAACTAGTGAAAAAAACTAGTGAACATCCTTGTAGCCAAATTTTCTTGTAAATTTTTTGAGATAAAATTCACGAATAAAATTTACCATTATAACTGTGTTAAGATAAGATGTACAATTCACAAGATTGTGCAACCGTCACCACAGTTCCAGAGCATTCCCATCACCCCAAAAAGAACCCCCATACTATTCACAGTCACTTCCAATTCCCCTCTCCCCCATCCCCTGGTGACCACTAATCTACTTACTGTCTCTATGGGTTTACCCATCCTGGACATTTCATACAAATGGAATTATGCTATATGTAGCACTTTGTGCCTGGCTTCTTTCACTTAGCAACACGTTTCAAGATTCATGCAGGTTGTGGCACTTCAGCGCCATAGGAATCATGGCGTGCCTCATTCCTTTTTACGGCTGAATAATATTTGGGTGACATTTGGGTTGGGTAAATGTCAGATAAAAAAAAGATGTTGGGTAAAAAAAGATAAAACCATAGGGGAAAAGCTGCTGTAGCTCTTCTGCCACATGCTCATGTGGAAAATGGCTTATGTAGCAGGGAAACATAAACAGCCACTGGGAAAGAACAGGACTAGATTGGGAGCTCCGCAGCCGAGGACAAAGACAAGGCCATTGGAAGCTGGGGTTGGGAACGGACAGTTGGATTGACAAGTCATTTTTTTAGTTTGTTTTTTAAAATGTTGTTTGGGGGCTCAGTCAGTGAAGCGTCCCACCCTGATCTCAAGTCAAGTCATGATCTCGCAGTTCCTGAGATAAAGTTCCAGGTCGGGCTCTGTACTGACAGCACGGAGCCTGCTTGGGATTGATTCTCCCTCTCTCAAAATGAGCAAACATTAAAAAAAAAAAGTAAAAATAAAAATGTTCTTCCATTATCTTTACAATGAGAATACAGCTTGGCTTTGTAGCTCTGGTTATTTGTTCAGAGGGAAGGACAGTAATGTTCAACACACCAATTGCACCCTATATGACCCGAGGAGAATATCGGCAGTCAAGAAAAACTGTGTGAACTTATGCACCTAATACATACATATATATTTTTAAATTAACAAAAGTAGAAACCTGTATCTAACCAAGTAATAACTGAGTTCTCTCACAATGTGAAAAAATAAGTAACTAAAATGTGGGCTTTAAACAAAGTTAAGGTTAGGGCGCCTGGATGGCTCAGTCGGTTAAGCATCTGACTTTCTCTCAGGTCATGATCTCATGGGTCGTGAGTTCGAGCCCCACATCGGGCTCTCTGCTCTCAGCACAGAGCCCACTTCAGATTCTCTTTCTCCCCCTCTCCCCACTCAAAAATAAACAAACATTTTTTTATAGTTTAAAAATAAACATAGTTAAGGTCTAAAAGCTCTCTTCTTCAGATGAGTAAAAATCAAGCAGCTTGGTTCTCTAAGCCGTCTGGCGAGGCTAATACCGGGAATATGCACAAGGGTCAAGTGGGCAGTATTTTCTGTAGAGTGCACTTTGCAGCTTCACTTCAGACCCTTTAAATCCCAAGCAGTGCTGCTTTCTGACCTCCTTTGACTGGAGAGAGACCACTCCACATGACACTGTTTTCCCCCTACTTCCTATCAATGGCAAGCCTCCTTTTCCATTACATATAATGTGCATTTCACAGGATACCTTGTAGCAAAGATTTCTCAAACAGGACTTGAACAAAATAACCATGAAAGAAAAAGATGATAAAGTAGTTTGTATTAAAATGAAGATGATCTATGTTAATTAATCAATTGGGGAGTCCTTTATATATATATATAAAATATATAATATATATGTAAATAATATATATGATATATATAATATATAAATATATAATATAAATATATTCACTATATAAAACACTTTTATATAATGTATAATGTGCGATATATATGTATATACATATATATATAAAACATTTCTATTTTCTTTTCTTTTTTTTTTTATTTTAGTTTATTTTTTGGCAGACAATAGCAAGAGCATGAACGGGGGGAGGGGCAGGAGAGGGGAGACACAGAATCGAAGAGGTGAGCTCGTCGAGCCATCAGCCAGAGGAGGAACCCGACATGGCATGTTGGAGTGAACTCAATGGAACCATGATGCTGACCTAGTTGAAGTCGTTCTTAACCAACTGCCACCAGGCGTTCATTATTGTCTATTTTAACTATCTTACAATGCTACTGTCAATTATATCCAGTAAAGGTGGGGAAAACCCACAATACCTACCCCTAGTTATGTATTTGAAGAATTATGGTACAAAAACTAACACAAGACACCTGGTGACTGCGTTAGTTAAGTGTCCAACCTCAGGTCAGATCTTGTTTTGAGTTCGACATCACATCGGCTCTGTGCTAATGGCAGAGCCTGGAGCCTGCTTCAGATTCTGTGTTTCCTTCTTCTCTGTCCCTCCTGCTCACAACTTTGTGTCTCTCTCAAAAAATAAATAAACATTAAAAACAAAATTATTTAGCGCTTAGGTGTCAGTTGCTTGTTACGTCCGACTTCAGCTCAGGTCAATGATCGTCATGGTCTGTGAGCCTTAGGTCATGGCTCTGGGCTATCGTGGCTCCTCAGCCTGAGCCTGTCTTCCGATTCATTGTCTCCTCTCCTCTGCCCTCCCCCCATTCCATGCTCTAGTCTCTCCTCTCATGTCTAAAATAAATAAATCAAAAATGTTTCTTTTTTTAATTTTTGAAAAAAAGTCAACAGTTCAAAAAAAACCCACAAAAAACAAAACAAACCTCAACAGTTCTACCTGGGTGGCTCAGTCAGTAAGGGTCTGACTCTTTGACTTTGGCTGAGGTCATGATTTCATGGTTCATGGGTTCGAGCCCCACGTCAGGCTCTGTGCTGATAGTGTGCAGCCTGCTTGGGATTCTGTCACCCTCTCTCTGCTTCTCCTCCGCTTGCTCTCTCTCTCCCTGTGTCTCTCAAAATAAATAAAAATAAAAACTTTAAAAAAAAAAAAACAAAACTCAATAGTTCTTAGGTCTCAGTTCCTCTAAACCTGGAACTGACCAAGCCAGGCACACCTCCCTACACGAATTAAATTAAGAACATTCGAAAGATACCATTAAGAGATCTAAAAGGCAACCTACAGAGTGGTAGAAAATATTTGCAATACATATATGTACACACACACAACTCTTACAAATCAATTTTTAAAAAGACAATCAAATAGAAAAAGAGAAGACATTGCAGATATGTCATTAGAGGATATACGAATGTCCAAAACACATCTGAAAAGTGCTCATCAGTCATCAAGGATATGTTGATTAAAGCTAACATGTGGCCAGAATGACTAAAATGATAAGATGCTAAATACCAATTGTTGGCAAGGATATGGAACAAATGGAATACTCACACACTGCTGGTGGAGTACAAAATGGCATACACACCTAGGGAAAGCATTTGCCAATATCTCTGAAAGGTGAACATATGCATATTGTATGATACATTAATTCCACCCCTACTACACACCCAACAGAAGTGCATCTATATGTTCACTAGAAGACACGTACTGCAATGTTCATCAAAGCTACCCAGCTATCTAAGAAAAAGTTAATGTACATTCAGATGATGAAGTATTACACTGCGAGGAAAATGAGTGATCTAAAACTATTGCAACATCATAGATGAATCTCACAGACAAGGTTTAGCAAAAAAAGCCAGATAGAAAAGAATACGTGCTATCCAATTCCATTCATATAAAGTACAAAAACAGGCAAAATTAATCTATACTGCTGGAAGTCAGGGGAAGGCAGTGACTAGGAAGGAGCACAGGGGCTTCTGAAAAACTGGTAATGCTATGTTTCTTAAACTGGACACAAGTTACACGGTGTGCTCAGTTATCAAAAGTCATTGAGCTTTACATTTAAGACAGTGCCCTTCTTTTCAGGTATTTTACTTTGATGAAAAGTTTGAAAATAAATGTACCTAAGGAAGCTTAAATTTGGGGGGGTTAACATGTTTCTTTTCTCTATAAAAGCTTTTCAAATTATTTTTTAGTTTTTCAGATTTCTACTTACAGAATTTTTGGTATTGGCATCGAAATTGTTTCTTACTGGTTGGCCTTTCCGAGCCTCTGTTTTCTCATCTGTAAAATGAGGATAACAGAATTTAAAAGCCAGTGCAAGGGCTCGAGTGGCTCAGTTGGGTAAGCATCCGACTTCAGCTCAGGTCATGATCTCAGAGTTCGTGAGTTCAAGCCCTGCGTCGGGCTCTGTGCCAACAGCTCAGAGCCCGGATCCTGCTTCAGATTCTGTGTCTCCCTCTCTCTCTCTCTCTCTCTCTCAAAAATAAATAAACATTAAAAATAGAATAAAATCCAGTGTGATTTTTAGGGGTGCCTGGCTGGCTGGCTCAGAGGGAAGACATGTAACTCTTGATCTCTGGGTCGTGAGTTCAAGCCCCATGTTGGGTGTAGAGATTACTAAAAAAGATAAATAAACTTTAAAAAAAAATAATAAAAGCCAGTGTGATTATTTTTTAGTTTTTTTTTTTTTTTTTTTTTTTTTTTTTTTTTTTTTTTTTTTTTTAAGTAATCTCTACACCCCATGTGGGCCTGAACTCACAACCCCGTGATCAAGAGTCACATGCTCTTCCCACTGAGCCAGCCAGGTGCCCCAGAGCCAGTGTGATTTTTAAAAGTGCTTAGCACAGGGCCTGGCACAAAATGTTCCATGGTAACTTAATACTTTCCTCTAAAACAGTGGGACTGGTTTAGAAACCCTTCCCATGTGGCTACTATAGCATCCTGTACTAATCCCTGTCTTAATATTTCTTACTGTCTAGTTTCCAAGACTGTGAGGCACTTGAGAGCAGGAATACTGTGCAATACACAATATTCCCAGAGTCTAGTTCAGCATCTGCACGGAATAAGAGCTTATTACTTATTTATTAAATAGATGATTGAATATAAATTTCGGACACGTTGCAACATCTATTTTATTGATTACGGAATCACAGTTTCCTTGAAACAGCACTCTTGGTTTCTATCATCCACTAATAATTTCTCCCAAAATATTCTGACTTGATTCTATTCCAGGAGAACCTCTTTCTACTATTCCCTCATATTTTTCTATACCTGTCATATTAGGGCAGCCATAGACCTTCATTTTTACAACTGCTAAATCTAAATAACTTATTTCTACCCTTCACTCTCAACCTTCCTTAAAAACTTCTGCAAGTAGCAATTTTTTTTTTTCTGTTCTGGCCTAAATGAATTAATAAGCCAGTTTGGTCATTCCCACTAATTTTTACAACGTTTCAACATGATTAAGAAAAAATAATCTGGGGCTAAGAATTGTAGGTATCCAATTGAATGGCAAAGGCAGAAACTAGAAGTCCCCAAGTAAGGCCAGGCTTTTGTTTCCTTTCCACCGATGAGACGGTATGCTTAATCACTTTACTCCTGCAGGATGTCCCATTCTGAAAAACACACAATTCTATGTGATAAAGGGAAGGGAGAAGAAACAACCATTTGATAAGCACGTATTATAAAACAGTTCTGGCAACTGTCATTCCTCCTTCCTCAAATCTAGGAAAGGTCCACAAACCTACTTTCATGAAAAGTATCTCTTGGACTTGAAAATAAACAGCCCTCACCCCCAACCTTCCATGGCTCTATGGTTTCCAGAGCACTCATCTTCAAATACTTTTAAACTTCTTATTGACATGTAATACACGTAGAGAAGCACACAACTCCCTAAACCTTTCTCATCTTTTTAGTTTTCATTAGTAAAAAAAAATGAGTATGTACCTGTTTCATTTTTACATATTACGTACATGTAGCACTGTGCTGATATTATGTATACCATAAAACATATTAAAATTTATCAGAAGAAAAAAATTCTTGTAACTATGAAGGGTGACAGATGTTACCTAGACTTACTGTGGTGATCATTTTGCAATCTTTGTAAATATCGAATCCTTGTGTTGTACACCTGAAACCACTACACTGCATGTCAACTATACATCAATACAAAAAAGAATGAGACAAAAATAAATAGAAATGGCAGTCTTCTAGGATAAAGACATGTAGAGAAGGAGAATACTTTCTTTCTCCCTTATAATAATTTAAAATTAATTGCAGAAAACAGTAGGGCTGGCTTTGAGTTCTTATTAAAGATGAAAATTGTCTTGGGTGGGACACCTAGGTGGCACAGAGCCTGCTTGGGATTCTCTCTCTCTCTCTCTCTCTCTCTCTCTCTCTCTGCCCCTTCCTACCCCTCTCTCAAAATAAATAAACATTTAAAAAAAAACTGTCTTGGTAAAATAGATCTAGAATCTACAAATAGATTCTTCAAACATTTTAAATCTTACTAAGGCTTACATTTAACCTGGAGTGACTACTTAGCTATGGATGATGCAATGGATTAACTCCAGTCTTAGTTCCAATAACTAACTACATTGGTGACCATTAGGCAAAAATTTTTTTTTTTTCTTTTAACAATGTTTATTTTTGAGAGGAGAGTGTGAGCAGGGGACGGGCAGAGAGGGAGACATGGAATCTGAAGCAGGCTCCAAGCTCCGAGCTGTCAGCACAAAGCCCGACACGGGGCTCGAACCCATGAACTGTGAGATCATGATCTGAGCCAAAGTCAGACACTCAACCTACTGAGTGACCCAGGTGCCACAGGCAAATTTCTTCATTTGTAAAATGAGCATACAAAACTGGATGATCCTAAAACATCCTCAGAGTATTATGTGTGACTAGCATCACCCCATGGACCTTGATATAATAAGGGGATCTATATGGCCAGGATAGGAAAGCTGGTTAAAATAATAGTAAAGGGCTTAGTTCTTCCTGGCAGTTCTATATGGCAGCCTCCTCAATAATTCATAGTTTAGTAGGGATATAGGAATGGCTTTAGTGCTTCAGGAAAAAAAATGAAAATTATAATTTTTTTTAACGTTTATTTATTTTTGAGACAGAGAGAGACAGAGCATGAACAGGGGAGGGGCAGAGAGAGAGGGAGACACAGAATCTGAAACAGGCTCCAGGCTCTGAGCTGTCAGCACAGAGCCCGACGCGGGGCTCGAACTCACGGACCGTGAGACCATGACCTGAGCCGAAGTCGGATGCTTAACCGACCGAGCCACCCAGGTGCCCCGAAAATTATAATTTTTAACCATGACAGGTTTCTTCCTTCTACCAATTGACAGTCTGACACCCCCAGGATGCTCTAGAAACAGCCAAACACCTCCCTACTGCCTTCCTCCCTCATCACTGGCTTATTTGGAAAAGAAAGAAAAGATTACAAAGAAATCTGACATCTGTCTAATGCAGAGTTTTAAGAAGCAGAGTCTCGAGCTGCAGGAGCTTAAAGCAGCTCTGAAATTCTGCACTCCAGTGCCATGGTCTTGGGCAGCAGAGTAACCAGGGGAAGAGGGCAGCATTTTGGTTACAATGTGAATGGTACTCCCTTGGAGTTATTCCAGCAGGCGAGGCTAGTGGAAGCAGGCAATTGGCCTGGCTTAAACTGTTCAGATTTGGGCCTCGAGGCTAAGAGGTATGCCGTATTATTTCAGCATGTTTTATGAATTGGTTCCACTGTTAAACACAGCCAAATTTTACCCTTCAAAAATCATCCCGAGAGCCTATCTTGGCCACTCCCTGCATTTCAGCACACTTTTGCACAGCTTAATTACTGTGTATCTGGCACCACTTCATGCCCTCTATACACTTTCCCAATCCTGGGATTCATGGGCTGCCAAAGCATAATCTTGTAGCGAATACATTTTCTCCTTAAAGCACTGAAACTTAAGAAAGCTTTATAGAGATTTTTTTTGAACGGGTAGGTGTCTTCATGTGCAATGTTTAAGACCTTTCCTGTGTTCACCATAACTATAGATGATAAAAAGTTTTCATTCCTATTGTATCCACTTAGACCTCAAAGATTAAAATAACAAATGATGGCACAAACCTTCCACTGTACATGAGGCCAGGACTTTTATGATGCATTCTCTTACTGAATTATTCTTACTGAAATTCTGCTATATTTCCTCCAATTTACAGAGGAGGAAATGAGCTCAGAGAAATGATCTGAGATCCTATAGCCAGAAAGCACCAAAATCAAGATTTGAATTCAAGTCTTCAGCCTCTAATTCCATTGTTTATTCATCTATGTCCTGGTGATATTTACTAATAAGCTCGTGTGCCAAACATAGCCCCTACACACCATGCACATCTTTACTTCTGAATGAAAACCACAGAAAAACCAAGAAAATAAAAGTTAAATGCAACTTAAGGGCAAGAATAAGCACAACACCTTCAGTGAGCTAAGATCCTCAAAGGACTTAAGGATTGCATGACTTCTCAAGTGTAAGGAACTATTTAGGATATTTAATAGGGTCTTGGGACATAGGTGCTCAATGAATACTTGAAAGTTTGTTTGAAACGTCTCCAGGCACCTGGGTGGCTCAGCTGGTTAGGCACCCGACTCTTGGTTTTGGCTCAGGTCATGATCTCACAATTCTGTGGGTTCGAGCCCGTGTGGTGCTTTGTACTGGTGGCACGGAGCTTGCTTGGGATTCTCTCTCCCTCTCTCTGTCCCTCCCCAACTAGCGCTTTCTCTGTCTCTCAAAAATAAACTTAAAAAAAAATTTTTTTTTTTAAGTCTCACAGTACAGGGGTGCCTGGGTGGCTCAGTCGATTAAGGTCAAGGTTTCTACTCAGGTCATGCATGACTTCATGGCTCGTGTGGTTGAGCCCCACATGGGGCTCTCTGCTGTTCACACAGAGCCCACTTTGAATCCCGTCTTCCCTCTCTCTCTGCCCCTTTCCCACTAGTGACACGTACTTTCTCAGAAATAAACACTGAATAAAAAACTCACAGTACCACCCCACAGACTGCTCATTTACAAAAGGAAAAAAAATGTACATTAAAATGGAAAAATCTGGCAGTCATCTTAACCAAATGATCAATCTTAGCATCACCAAACAGTGCCAAGTTAACACTGTGTACATCTTCATGACACAGTAAGAGATAACCACACAGCCTGTTATACTCCTACCAAAAAGTATAACCCAAATCTACTAAAAAAATCAGAAAAATATCCAGGATATGGGACATTGTAAAATGGATTTGGACACTTCAAAAAGTTCAATGTCGTGGGGGGGGGGGGGG